GTTTGGAAGTTATACTAGTTGGCTTACAAAAGAAGTAACATATCCAAATTCACAAGGAAATTGTGCACAAGAAGGTTCTAACAAGTTCTAGATGTTTCCATGAGCATCTATATATTGAGTAGAGTGGCTCCAATCATGGGTTGGTGATTCATTTTGGTTGAAACTCATAGTTGCATCTCATTCTTCAATCTTGCAAATTCATTCCAAACTCTATCAAATCTTCATCATTTTCCAAAATTCTTGATCCTATCATCATCTATATTCATCATAGAGCAAGTTTCCATCAAGATCTGGCTGAATTGAAGTAGAATTCGTGTGCTACCAAGTGTATCATCCAAATTGCAAAAGGAAGTGGTTATGGCAATCCAAGGTGTTTAAGCAAGTGTTGTTGCATACAGAACCAAGAATCAAGTCTATTGATCAAGTCCAAAGCACTGCAAGCTGTGAATCCAAGAGATCATCCATCTGTTTTCAAGATTACACCAGGTTAGTTTTTCTATCTAATTGGCTAGAAATAGTTAGCATGAGGTAGAATTATTAGGTTAGAACTGTTAGGAATAGTTAGATGAATGATTCTGATGAATTTAAGGGCATTTCATGGAGTTCACCATTGAAGCACCAAAACAGTTGAGCCTTATAACACTTAGGTTAAGGCATGTTAATCTTAGCTAGATAGATTAGAATGATCAGCATAGCATGTAGAACGCATTAGTGTAAGAGTTAGCAAGAATCATCAAGATTGATCTCAGTGTAAAGTGTTGGAACCAAGGTCTTCTACCTATCGGGTTTGGCTCTAGATGGAGTTTTAAAGAAAACTGAAACCATGGTTGTGTAGAGGAGAAGATCTAGAGCATTTTTGCTTTTTACGGATATGAGTTTCATGGAGAAACGAAGGTGTATGATGATGGTGAAACCTGGTTCGTGCAAGCTTGCTTAGGGCTCAATAATGGTGGAAACCCTAGGTTATTTGGAGAAGAAACATAACAACCGTTGGATCATCCACGAGACTTTGACTGAAGCACGCATCCGAGGGCCAGGATTTAAAGATGAAACGCGAGGGAACTCAGGCAGCGTGAAACACACCGTTTCACTTAAAGTCCCAGCTTGGGCTTAGGGATCCATTGCTATTCGTACCACCACCTTCAAGGCCCAACATGAAATGAACTAATATAACTGCTATTTGCACCGTTTTTGGTTATTTTTCTTTTTGTGTTTTTTCTGATTAGCTGGGCCCAGACGCGCCTTGCTATGCGCACCCCCAGTCTGGGCCCATTGTCCATTTTTTAACTGAAATCCTTACTAATTGCACCCCTAACTCTTTTATAATCATTTTAATTTCTTTTATTTTTGTTAATTCTTTGAAAAATCATAACAAATTGGAAATTTCATATTTTTAAATGGTTGTTTTTGCATCTTTTTCATATTTCTGTCAAGAAAATTGTCATATAATAAAATTCGCATTTTATTTTGTTTTTGCATTTTTAGTATATTTTTCTTTTAAATAGGTTTAAATGATGTTTAGTTTAGTACTTGATATTGTTGATTTTTGTTTAGCTAGATCCTTGTATATTTTGGACCCATTCTTTTTAGAGTACTTCACTTGGGACTTTAATTTTCATATGGGATTTAATTCCTGATTTTAGGACTAATTTTTAGATGGTTTGTTTAGGTGTGATTAGGAGAATCAAAACTAGGGTTTAGATATAACATAGGTGTAATAAATCATTTCTTTTAGGAGTTGTAGTTTGAATTTTGGGGGTATGGGACTATAGGGGTATTATGGGTAGATAATAGATCCCTTAGAAAATATTAGGCTTCCCCTATTCTACTATTAATATTAGTATATTTCTTGTATTGGCTTGACTGTGTGGTGTGCCCTCTCTAGGGTTATTATTTGACTGTGTGGGGTATTGGGCCTACTTGGGGTTTGGGGGTTTGAGCTGAAGACTGTGCTGATGAAGCCCATTGAAGATTAAAGAATGAAGACCAATTTCCAGAGTTGATGAAGAGTATCTCTTGCTGGCAGCTGTTGAAGGTTATAGGATCTAGGAGTTAGGCAGAGCTCTAGAGTAGAAAACTTGATTCACAAACATGGAAGGTCTTGGTTGCCTCCATCCCTCTCTATGATGCAGAGTCTCTCTAAGACATTCACCCCCTTCCTTTGGAAGGCTTGGTGATAGTGTCTAAGAGATAGAACTCTTGAGAGAAACATTCTATGTGTTGTTAGCAGTCTGTTTGCCACCATTGGTGGTCAACTAATTGCTTAACACCCCAGTTCATTCTTTTGACTGTTTCTCATCTTGGAGAGTGAGACTTGAAGAAAAGCCCCGGAAGATTGAAGACAAGACCTTGATTGAAGGCTGTGAAGAGGAAGACTGATGCCTGCTTGAAGCTTGTAGGTGTTTGAAGATGACTTGAAGACAGATGTTGATGAAGAATGTTGTTTGCTGTTTATCTTTTGCTGTTCAAAATTTTTGATGTATTGTTTGAATTTCCCTGACTGTATTGTTTGCCATTAACCTGTTAGGTGGAAAGTGAATCTTGTTCACTTTTGCCTGTTGTTTTCTAGGTTCGAGGTTGAGTGGGACTCCCTTGCCTCGCTTGTATTGCTGCATTCATGCATTTTACTGCTTTATTGTATATATGCTTTTGTTTCTGTTTCCGTTTATCCCTTAGGATCTCTGTTTCTCTCTGTGCAAGAGAGGAACATGATAGACATTAGGTCTTAACCCATGCATGATAACATAAGGTTAGTTTGATTCCCTTTGCAACCATAGGTTAGAGTTCTGTCTCTTCTTTCTCAAAAACAAACAGAAAAACACAATAAGATTTCAAACACAATAAAAGACACTTCTTCCGTAAAAGAACGTGAACTCGTCAAAACGTCATTTTTGTCCGCTGGGACTGTATCAGAAAAACCCTTTTTCAGAAGGAATAGAAACAATCAAGACAGACTTGTGTCGTACGTTGCCCGAACTACGTTTGCTCTGATCTTTCATGTTGTATGAAAGTACGTAGGCATAGGATGCGATATCCTAGCGAGCAACCTTCCCCTCCTTTACCGTAGGTAGGCGAACTACGTTGACTTTGATTTCTCGTTCCAGACGGGAATACGTAGGCATAAAGTGCGATACTTTGCCGAGTCATTTTATTTTCTTTTTAACCCTTAACCTGTAGTGTAGATAGAATAACAATCCATACCCGAAAACAAGCGTGGATCCCGTCGAGTACGACAGACGTGAGGGGTGCTAATACTTTCCCCTTGCGTAACCGACTCCCGAATCCAGGTTTTGGTTGCGATGACCATACCTTTTCCCTCTTTTCGTGAGGTTTTCTCTGAGCGTTTCCTTTCCCTCCGTTGGGATAAATAACGCACGGTGGCGACTCTTCTATTCAGCCGGCGCCGATTTTCGCAGTAGCGACAGTAATATTGATGATAATGTTGGAAATAGTATTATTGATAATGTTGATGATATTGAAGCTGATAATGTTATTGAGGATGATGTTCATGATAATGCTGGAAATGTCAATGTTGATGGTGATGCTGGTAATCTAAATGTTGATGAATCTGCCAAGGTTGATGAGAATCTTAATGGTGTTGAAGGAGATGATAGTGATTATAATGGTTTATCATTTGAGGACAGTGAGGATGAAAGGGCCCTTGGCAGGGATGATAGATTTGATGTTGTAGACAAACTACCTAGAAGGGTTAAGCAGATAGCAAATGTTGATGCCAATGGGGGTTCATCGAGTGGGGTTAGTGTTGGTAATGAAAGGCTTGAAACTAATTATTTAAGTGATGATCTAGGCAGTAGTGATCCTGATGCATCAGATGAAGAGAAAGAACCAAAATATCCTATGTTTAAGATAGAGGAGTTAGAAAAGGACTACAAGTTAGAAGTTGGTTTGGAGTTTGTATCTCTGCATGAATTTAAGGAGGCAATAACTGAATGATCAGTATTAAATGGAAGAGAGATAAAGTATGTGAAAAATGACAAGATTAGAGTGACAGTAGTTTGCAAGGGCAATTGTGGGTTTTTGGCTCTTGTTAGTAAAGTGGGAAATAAGCACACGTATAGAATGAAGAAATGGTTTGGTGCTTACATGTATGGTAGGGTTTTGAATAACACCACTGCTAACTCCAAGTGGATTGCAAAGACTGTGGCGGCTAGGGTGGCTTCATCTGATGTAATCAAGCTTCGTGATATTGTCTCTAAGATTATGAGTACTTACTACGTAGGTATAACTATGAATAGAGCATGAAAGACTAAGAAAATTGCAAAAGCTTTGGTTGAAGGTGATGCAACAAAGCAATATACACTATTGTGGAGGTATTCTGCATAATTAAGGAGGGTCAATGTAGGGAACACCTGCAAAATTAATGTCACCAGAATTGGTCCCACAATTCAACCCAGATTTGGCTGCTTTTATTTTTGCTTTGATGGAGCAAAGAAGGGATTCACTACTACTTGCAGGCCATTCATTGGTGTTGATGGATGTCACCTCAAGACAAAATATAGAGGCACCTTGCTTGTTGCTGTTGGAAGGGACCCTAACGACCAATATTACCCCTTGGCTTTTGGTGTATGTGAGACTGAGACAACAAATGAGTCATGGAGGTGGTTCCTGACCTTGCTTTTGGAAGACATTGGATAAGACAAAAGATGGGTATTCATATCAGACCAGCAAAAGGTACTTTTCAGATCTATATTTTTTTTAATTCATCCCTAAGTTATGTAATTGTGTTTTGATTTGGTCCCTGAATATGTCAATTTGTTTTTAACTAGGTCCATGACAATGAAATGTTAGTGTGGATTTCATCTGTGTATTATTTCTGTTTTATTGAAGTAGGTCCCTTATTTTATTGTTTTTTTTTATTTCAAGGGCTTAATTCATGTATTTGAGGAGATGTTTGAGAGGGTGGAGCATAGGATTTGTCTTAGGCATTTATATGCCAATTTTAAAAAGAAGTTTGATGGTGGACACAAATCAGAGATTTGATGATGGCTGAAGCAAAGGCCACATATATACAAGCATGGGAAGCAAAGATGAAAGAGTTGAAGGTGTTTAATCCTAAGGTTTGGGAGTGGTTGATCAAAATACCTACAAAATCTTGGTGTAAGCATGCTTTCTCATTCTATCTCAAATGTGATGTGCTAATGAATGATATATCTGAAGCTTTTAATAGCACAATACTAGTGGCTAGGGATAAAACAATCTTAACCATGTGTGAATGGATAAGAAACTACTTTATGAATAGAAATTATAACTTAAGAGAAAAAGTTGATAGGTGGGAACATACGAAAATGCCAAGACCTAGAATTAGGTTAGATTAAGAGGTAGAAATGCTGGTAATTGGATTCCAAACTGGTCTGGTGATGCTATTTGGAAAGTTGAACATATTCATAGCAAACGTAGCTTCATAGTTGACATTTCTAAAAGAACTTGTACCTGTAACTTTTGGGACTTGGTAGGCATACCATGTAGACATGTAGTTGCTGCCTTAGGCTTTAGGAACCAACACCCAGAAGATTATGTAGATGACTATTATTCTAAAGAAACATATGCGGCATGCTATAATTTCAATGTTAGCCCAATTAATGGCCAAGACATGTGGCCTGAGGTTAATGTTGAGGAGATGTTGCCTCCATCATACAAAAGAGGCCCTGATAGGCCAAAGAAATTAAGGAGGAAGGAACCTGATGAGGACCATAAAAAGGTAAGGACACAAACATCTTGTTGTTGTACCAAATGTGGTGTACATGGCCACAATGCAAGGAGTTGTTCAGTGTTGGTGCCTGACCTTGAAGCTCAGAAAAGAAAGGTATTAACTTAACTCAAATTATGTATTCTAACTAACTGTTTGTAAGTGATATTGGTTGAATCACTCTGTGTGTAGAAAAAACCAAAGAAAAATGCTACACAAATAACACAGCCTGAATCTGTAGCAGAACAAACAACTCATGCTGAAAATGAAGCTTCTACTGAACAACAACAACCACAAGATGAACCTCTAACTAAACAACAGCAAAAAACACAATGTGATATGGACCAAGAGTTTGAAATGCTTGCAGCAAATCTTTGTGCAGCTTTTGAAACAACACAAACTCAACCTAATTCAATGATCTCACTTCCCAAACTCCAGTTCCACCTCAAGTTGCTAGTGACCATGCTCTAGCTATTGAGGTTGCACCTGTAATGGCTTCACAAGGAGCTGGTGACTCATAACCAAACTACATTCGGTATGCACCTGTTCAAGAGGTTGAGCCTACACCTAATGAACCTGTTCATGCACATCCACCTAAGGAACCTGTTTCTGCGCCTTCTAAACCAGTTGAGTCTGCTACTTACTAATTGAGTTAATGTGTATGTTCTCAGCTTTATTGATATTGGCCTAATTGTATTTGTTTTTATTGTGTCTTTGTAGGCAAAACAAACCAAACAAAAGGTCACAAAGAAGTTGAAGTTGAGGAAAAGTGATAGGGCAAGGGTACTCAAATGCAAAAAGCTCAAGGGAGAAGGAAGTAACCCTGCACAACCATGGAAATTGTAGACATTTGACTTGTTTTGACTTATGTTTTTTTGAACAACATTACTACAATGGTGTACTTCAGCTTAAGCCTTGTTGTTTTCTATTATGTATTTTGATTACAATACTACTTTGGCTTTAGCCTTAGAGTTTTGAACCTTTATGTTTTAGATACAAGCATGTATTTTTGCTTAAGCCTTTATGTTTATGATACAATGTGTATTTTGGATACATTATCAAGTTTGTTTTATGCACTTCATCAAGTTTTTTTATGCACAATTGAAATGACCTATTACCAATTTGGCTTTTATGCACATTATCAAGTTTGGTTTATGCATAATTCAAAACAGGAGGAGCAGTATAATTGCATACATATACTTTCCAAAACCAAAACATCTTTTTCATTCATCATATGGTATATGGACCAATCTCAAAATACATTAATGTTACAAGGACTAAAAACAAAAAACAAAAAACAAACACAAACAAACGGGATTCACCACCATTTATGATAAGGAAAGAAGAACTCCCATGACACAACCAACAATAGCTTCAAGAGAGTCGTTTTTCCCTTCTCCTTCTCCAACTTAATCTTCATCTTTACCTTTTTGCCAATCTCAATCTCCTTAACAATGTACCCTAAATCCTTCAACATTTCCGAGTAGTTGCAACCACTTGAACTTCTAAGATCGCTAGCTAGATTTTGTTCAAGGTAAAATAAACTATTTGAAAGTCTTAATGTGAATCAGACTTTTAAATAGGTTTTCAAGACATAGCGGACTTTTAGAAAGGATAGGCCAGACTAAAAAAAGTCTATAATAGACCGTAGCACTGACTCAGTCCTTTTAAATTTATTGTAGATCGAACTCATATATTCTATTGTCTGACTTGACCTAACTTATTTTCATTTCTAATCATAATTGTTGACTTCCATTCAACAGTCACCCACACATCACACAAGACTAACCGACGACAATTATACGACCAATTATATATATATATATATATATATATATATATATATATATATATATATATATATATATATATATATATATATATATATATATATATATATATATATATATATATATAACATCCAAACAGATACTCACGTGTCCGTTTGTTTGCTTTTTAAAATGTGCACACATGTCAAAACGTAAATTATTTTTTATTTAATTTTCTTCTTAATTTAAACTAGTAGAAGACCCATGCGTCCGCACAGGTATGAGAAAAAGTATAATCTTATCGAATTCAAATTTCACAAGAAAAAGTATATTCAAATGTATATTAAGAGTAATATTTATGCATGTTTTTATTTGTTTGAATCTAACTTATTGTATCTCGTGTAATTTTATGAAGTAGTTCAATAACATTTTAAACATTATAGTGAAAAGATTGAAATACATAATCAAGATTTTAGACTTTTTTATTTTTTAGAGTAATATTTAAACATGATTCATTTTTTAGAGCAATAGAGTAACATACAATTTTATCGTAAGCTTGTATGGAATAAAAAGATCAAATACATCAAATTTTGAGTTATTTGACAATATTAGCAAACTCCATATGATGAATCTCTTGTTTTTTGGCTACAGACATAAAACGGTTACATTACATTAGCTAAATATTATCTATAATTCAAAGATATAAGCTTAAAAAAACAATAGTAGCCTTTGTTTATTATCAATTTATATCAGATTCAATTTGTATATACATGACAGTGTCTTAGACATATATTGAAATCAGCAATGTAAGCAAACATGCTATAGTCATAAGAGATATAAACAGTGAAATCAACACACAATAATATGAAACAAAAAGCATCATTAAAGATGGAAGCCCCATTACAAAACTACTAATCCATGAGCTAATGAGTTCAAGTTATATCGAAAAGAAAACCTACAAAATGACACGCTAAAATAATATTACAACTTAGGGTAATCCTTACACAAAAGGTGGCAACAAAACAGTACAAAGCAACAAAAAGTTAGGCTTCCAACGGTATGTCCATAAGATCATTCCTTTAGGTGTTTAGCTTTCGTTGCAGATTGCTTAGGAGAAAATACGATACAATAGTTGAACAACCTCAGTGAGAAAATACACGATATCTGTCAAACACAAGTTAAGCTATAAAAAGGACGGATTTGAAAAGCACAAGTTTTTGAAATATTAAACATAGAGTTAAGAATAATATGCTCCATAAGACTGAATTAAGATTCACTGTAAATGTTGGAACAATAACATTATTTTTGAAATAACATAGTTGAAAGCAAATAATAGAACAAAGAACATTAAACTTAACTTGGAAACATTATTTTTTACAGCAAATAATAGAATTAAGGACATTAAAATACTATCCAAAAACATGATTTTGTAAGGAAAAGCTTTCATATATGAACATGGGACATAAAACCACGTATTTAAAACAAACAATCTTTGCAAAATTAATTTCAACAGAACCCATGGATGTATGATAAACATGAAGTGAAAAACATATTTTTAGTTGAGAACCAACACATAGGACATTTGAACTAACCTTTGTAAGGAATGATTTCTCAAAAAATGAGTTGGTGAGAGTGAAACCGCAACCAAGAAACCGCAGCTTGGGAGGGAAAATGAAAACCAACATAGCTGTGTGAGAGAAACCGCACCTTGAAGCATATGTAAAATGATGAAATATGAAGCAGTGATTTTGGGGGGAAAAAGAGAATATCAATTAGGTGAAATATAAACAAATAATCCATATATCATGGTCCAGTTTACTAATCCGTCTAAGGAACATACCTATCATCCAGTTTATCATGGTCCAATTTCGCCAAAGCACGTTCGACTTCCTCATTAACCTGTTGATCACTGAATTAGAAAATTACATTGTAGAAAATGAAATTATTGCTTATTTTAACTCACAATTTTTCTGAGTAGACTTTCCAAAGATGAGCACAGTCTTTGCAAACTATCCATCATCAAAACTTCCACAATCACACTATACATTTCAAATGTTCATGTCACCAATTAATGTTACACAATTAAGAAAAACATAACAATATAATCTAACTAACATCAAAAGGAAGCGGACAGACGGGAGCGTCCGTCTAAACACCAGTGTATAATAATAACAATGTCTAAAGAGATAAAAAAGTTAAGAGAATAAATTTATCATAAAAAAGTTAAAAGATAAATCTGTCTATTGCCCAAAACACCATGTATTATATAAATACAATCAAAATCAAAATTAATCATTAACCAAAATCTATATAGAATTATAATTATTTTCTATTAAAAATAAAATTTAAAGGAGATTATGATGTGCATCCGAGAGTTATATTACTAATAATGAAGACAAAATTATGTGTATGTCGACTACTAGCTAGTCAAACACGTTACACGTGGCATCATACAAACACGACGCATGTCTGTAGCATGGAGCTGATAGCGAGCTCTTGATTGTAGTGAATCATTTGTTTTACTTTTACCTTGGATTTACATTTTAATTTTTCATATTCTCAAATAAATTATTTATTTATTTATTTGAATAAGCTTATTTGGTTGTTAGCCGTTTTTTCTAAAACTAACTTTTTATTAAAAACATAGTATCAATAGAATTAGATATGTCAAAAAAAATATATATGGGACTATCAGTTTAGTAAAGTTATGATATTTTTTAAATAAAAATTTTGACATCAAAATTATAGAAAAAAATTAATAAAATTTTAAATCATTAATTGAAATGGAGATAAACTTAGTATTCTTTTGGACTGAAGAGTTAAATGAGTTTATTACTTTAACATTTAAGTGAGGAAAATTGATCTAAATCTTATTTTTCTCATCTACTCTATATGGTTGCGAGTAAGTTTACTGCCTCTCTAATGCTTAAGTGTCATTCTAAAAAAAACAGAGAGTTGAAATCATATAATTTTTTTCTTTCATAAACACATGTCATATCTATTTCTTAAGCTACTACGAATTTCAACCTTTATGTGTTCTTCTGAGAATGGCACTTCAATGTGTTTATACTCCTCCAAAAACTCTATAAATTTGTTGTGAATAAGCATTGTTTCTCTCGACATTACTTCCAAAAAGTTGGACATATGTTTTTTTCAATGCTTTGGTTATGTTGATAGGTTGCATTTATAAACTTTCATCCTGCAATTATTCTTCAACAATTAGATTTAAGTTCATAATTATATGGCTAAGTCATGCTACCATTAATTATCGGATTTGGATCTTCTCCTTTTTTATATATCATGTCATTTCTTATGTTTTTAATCTAACGGTTCAGAATTTATAATGAATAATTAAATAAAAAAAGTCATTTAATAGGAGAGAGAAATTGATAAGTAATTTGTCTTTGTTTTTTTATTTAATTGTTCATTATAAATTTTGAACCGTTAGATTAGAAACACGAGAAATGACATGATATATAAAAAAGGAGAGGATCCAAATCCTTAATTATCCGTTTGTCTTAAAATATCTCAATCTTCCCTCCGATCCTTTTTATAAAGAATACTTTATTTTTTTTAAATTTATAAAATAATTAATGTATTTAATATGTTGATTCATATCTTTTTTATGTTTTTAGATAGACAGTTTAACCCATAAAAACTACCAATCTCCTTTGTGGCGAGCTCCTCTATTACCCCATAAAA